AAGGTACAGGGATTAGGACCTGATATCTTTGGGGGCCATTATTAAACTTCTACATCACTTTTATATATATTAATTTCAAGCTGGATTCTGAGCACTTTAAAAATGTCAATTTCTGCTCAGAACTCTGAGATAGGTGCTATTAGCTATTCTCATTTTTCAGGTGGCAAAAATTGAGGCAAAGATAACTTGTTCAAGTTATATCATACTCACATGTTCTTTGACCACAATGCAATTGTTTAGAGATCAATATTTTTTACTTTTATTTAGAATTTAAGACATTTATAGGACATTTGCAAAAACAGTACAAAGAATTGCCATGTACCCTTCACTTAGATTCTCCAAATATTAATATTTTGCCACACTTTGCTTTATTATATTCTATGTATGTAATTTTTTTCTAACCTTTTGAGATTAATTTGCATATAGTTGCATGTGTAAATACTCTACTCTGCATTTCCTAAAACTCAGGACTTTTTCTTAAGTAGTACAGTACAATGATCAAACTCCAAAAATTAACACTGATACAGTGCTATTATTTAATCTACAGATCTTACTCAATTTCACCAGTTGTATCAAAAATGTCTTTTATAGCAAAAGAACAATTTTTTTTTCTCAACCTGGATCCCATCCCAAGATCATGATGTATTACATTTACTTTTCAGATTTCTTTAGTCTTCTTTAGTATGAAATGTTTCATAAGTATAGACTGGTTATTCTGTGAAATATCCCTCAATTTAGTTTTTTCTGATATTTCGTCTTGGTTAGGTTCAGGTTGTATGTTGTGGCAGGAATACCACATAAATGATGTATCTTCAGTCCATCACATCAGAATGCACATAGTGTAAACTTCTTATTAATGGCAACACCAATACAAATTTTGTTTAAAACAAAATACATTTATAAAATTTAAATTTGTGCTTTTAAAAACTTAAGTTTGTGCTTCTAAAAACCATTTCTAAATAATTCCTAGTTAAAGAAAATCATAAGGTAAACTTTTAAATATTAGCCCTGAAAAAGAATGTATGTGCTTGTTTGTGTGTGTGTGTGCACGCACACACACACACACACACACACACACACAATTGTGGGATATAGCAAAAGATCACCAAATAAATTTAGAGCCTTAATGTAAAAATAGGGGAAAAATTGAACATGAATGAATTACATGCCTAAATTATGAATAATAACAGAATAACCCCCCAGAAAGCAAGACATAAAAAGAGCAGAGGGGATCAATAGAGCCAAAAGTTGGTTCTTAAAAAAAACACTAATAAATAGCCCAGCCAGTGTGGCTCAGTGTTTGAGCATCGACCTATGAACCAGGAGATCATGGTTGGATTTCGGTTAAATTCCCAGTCAGAACACATGCACATGTTGTGGGCTCAGTCCCAGCACGGGACATGTAGGAGGCAGCCAATCAATGATTCCCTGTCATCATTTATGTTTCTATCTTTCCCTCTCCCTTCCTCTCTGAAATCAATAAAATGTTTTTAAAAAACAACAATTAATAGACAAACTTCTGACAAACTAGTAAGGAAAAGAAAGTGAGAAGCATAAACAATATTAGAAAAGGAAATATAAGTACACATCCAGGAGAGGTTTAAAAACTAAGAATATTTCTTGAGTTACTTTATGCTAGCAAATTTGGAAATAACTAAATGCTTGGAAAAAAACTTGTTTTCTAAATTGACTCAAAAAGTAGAAATCCTGGGTATCCTTATTACCATTAAGATAAATCAGTAATTAAAAATCTTCCCATGAATAAATAGTAGGGCCAGATGGTTCTTATTTACTTTCAAGGAAAAGGTTGTTCCGCTCTTTTACATAATCTTCCAGAAATAGCAAAATAGGCAACACTTCCCAGCTCATTTAATGAAGTTATAATCTTGATATAAAAACACAATTTCCAAAATACAGATACAGAAATTCCAAATAAAGTACCAGCGTACTGCATTCCAGTGTGCAAAGATGGTGAAACATGACCAAGAATGTAAAGGTGATTTAATTCTAGAAAGTCATAATTAAACTAAAACAAGATCTCTGAAATCTCCAGGAGACATGTCACTTAATATATACTTCAATATGTGCATACTCCAGACATGCTCTCCTTGGGCTCTGTGCACAGGCTAGTCTGATTGAAATGCCCCTCCTTCGGGTCACTGAATGGCTTGCTCAAAACTGTTCAAAGGCCACCCTCACCCAAACCTGCTCTGAGTACCTTATAATCACAAGCCTCCCACCCCGACACACACCAGTTCCCCAGCCTCCTAGCCTTGCTTCATGTGGCACTCATGCTTCATTAATATTATTTTTTCTGTTTACTATCTGTTTCCCTCCTTTGCTCCCTCCCCCTCTCCCAGCTCAGCTGTGTTTGCTACAGTTTCTTGAGCATCCAGAAGAGTCCATGGCACATGACTGACACTCCCATCAACACACAATGGTACTCCTGGAAGCTTTTGTAACAAGGAAGATAAGCTTGCTTATATCCTTTCGGGATGACCTTTTGTAGGACCCAGGTTGCTTATTTTTCAATGACACACATTCAAGGAGAGTAATATGTGCTCACGTTAGACACGTGTTCCACTTCTAGATGTCTTCATCCACCTTTCATCTGTATCTCCACAGGGAATTTAAGGAATGTGTCTGTATGTGTTTTATAGCATGAGTGACATAAACATGCCAATCTAGAAATATTAGAATGTCACAAAGTAGTGAGTTCTTAACATTTAGTTTTCAACATACTCAATTAAAAAAAAAAGGCTTCAATACTTTGTTTTGACCCTGGAAAACTACAGAGCAAAGTAGCAGAATCCAGGACTACTTAAATTTTTAGACTAAGGGAAATATAGTACTATTTAAGCTCATTTCATTCTCACAAAGTATAATCTCAATAAATCTTTTTCTCCACATTGAATCAGCACCATATGTATTGGTATCGGGATTAATGTTCACTCTGTAAAGTTCAATTCTATTATATTTCAATGCAATAAATATCAAATGAGAAGTCAAAATTCATCTCTTTAGGACAGAACCACATTTGAGGAAAAGGAGACCAATAACATCACCATAGCATTTACTTATTTATTCCCACTGTACGTGGAACTGACACAAGGACAGGTCAGAACGGCACACACCATTATGTGTGCAGGATAATTCCCCCCATGCTATCCCATTGAAAGGGCAACGAAAAAACAATAAATTAAAATTTGCTTCCTATGTTGTGAGGAGAGTTTATTCTACACTCAGTGCATTTTGGGTTCAAAGCTTACCCAGCACATATCAGACAAGTCAATAGAGAATAAGTCTCAAATTTATGCTTTACCATGTTGAAGGTTTTGAGAATATTTGTTTCTTAGTACAATTTTTCTTTCATGTATTTGGAAACATAGATTTTCATTTCATCCTCTTCAACCTTGAGTGTCAAATACAAGAGGAAATTTGCTAAGTTGAAGAAGTCAAAGCCATAGCTCAGAAGTTTTGAGGTTGCTAAGAGATTTCCTAGCCATTATATAACTATTTCCCAACTAGGGTAAAAGGAAAAATATTTTGTATACTTGTTAGCCAATCCATCTCCTCTATGCCAACTTTCCAGCAATAACCACATGATAACCATCAACCAATCAACCATGTGAAGGCAAATGAAATATTGCCCAGGTCATTGTGCCGTCAACAAAATGAAAGAGAGAAAAAGGCAATGTTTTTCAAAGAACCTTTATTCCATTTAAATGAGTATTCCTCATTCTGAGATATTGTTCTTTCCACTTTTTGTATGCTATTAAATGTCTTACATAACGATGGTAATTTGTTTTTCTGTTTTTATGTCCTTAGCTATTAAAATCTAGAAACACTTAAATACCCTGATTAAAAATGTTTTGTGCTAATTTATTGGTGCTTAAAACTTAGCCCAGGAACCTCAGCCTCGGAAAAAGTCTACCTTTCAGATGACATGTCTGTCTCACAACTTTGAATTATTGCTTAGCAATTTCCCCAAACAAGTTATGTAGCAGGATAAAAGTGAGACTTAATTTATATTAAGCCATGTAACAATGGCCTTAATTTCAAGCACTAAAGAAATATATTTTTAATCAACACCACGGTTCCATCACCTTTCATCAAGATCACTTATATCAGTATATAAAGGGTACTAATCTCAAAGTGTAAGGCCGCCTCTCTGATGTCATGCTGTTCTAGGAATAGCCTCTGTCACATATGTAAGCAGTATTATTTGAAGCATAGACACCAGGCTTCTGGGTCTACCAGGCCACTTTCCTGGGCAGGGTTTTAGTGGCACCGCAGATGGTTGTTTGGCTCAGTGACATTTTGGCCCCTCTACCTTTATAAATCATACCATACATCTTAAAATAGCTACATATATTTAAACTGAGAAGAAATACGTATTAGAAGAAAGCATATTTTTATAGTCTTCACGTGTAAAAAAAAAAAAAAAAAAACCCTCCAAATTAATTTTGTCATCAGCTATTTGGAAAAAGAATAATTCCATATAAACATACATACGGGGACAGGCCTTTACAAAAGCTTACAAAGGAACTATGCAAACTGCAGTGTGTCCTCCCAGTGTAAATACATTCATCTCCAGGCCCTCAAACTGTTAAAAACAAGAACGAATAGCTGGCCGTGACTTTTTAAAGTATGTTTCAGAGAAGATACAAGAGTCATCATTGGCATTTTGGGCCAGATGAAACTGCTGGGCCTTATGCCCGACTCTAGCCTTCCGTGATTTGCTAAACTTGTGCACCTTCTCATTAAGTTATTCTTATTAATATTAGTTCTATATCCAATTGATATGAGCATTTATATTAAACTACACAATAACTGCTGCTGGTAGCATCCAAAATATATGTCAGGAGCTCCTGATTATGGCCTCATTCAGCCTTAGTAACTATTAAAATGCCGACGATTTGGGAGCTGGGTGGGTGGCCCGCAGGGAGCGTGTGGAGGCCGGAGCATTTGGCCGAGCTACGCAGAGCAGTTATCAACGCTTAGTTCTTCTTGACTTTCTTCAGATAGCGAGCCCGCGTGGACATGCCCATACGCATGCTCATTTTCATATATAACCAAGAAGGCACCATGGAGGCAAATACACCCTAGGAAAAGAAATGGGGAGATGTGTAATTACAGCCTATAGTTTGTGCTAAATTAAAACACGTGATCTTAGGTTTTACTATAGTTTTTTTTTTTTTTAACTTATAGGTAGATTTTAGAGTTCCTGGGTTTTTAAAAATAAAACACAGATGACTCGTTAGTAAGTCTAGCCTATACATATATATATATATTAATTTATCACATTATTTTTATGACTCAATGGAGGAAAAGAAAACACACACCCAAGTGCTGATCTGGGACTTAGAAATCTACCTACCATAAGAGAATGGATCGGATATCCATTGGTTCGGGTTGTCAACCCCACTGTTTTCAACGCCGACTTCACATATGCCTCTGAAGAGGGTATGGTCAGAGATGTTTTCCGGATTTTAGCCAGTTTCGTAGCGACAAAGAAGGGCAGGACACTCTGAAAGGCAACACCCCCCAGAAGAAAACATGCCATTGATTAGGAGGCTACAAACTCAGGATTCACAGTGATGCTTGACTGCTGTGTGGCAGAAACATTCTGATGAAATATAAAGTTTGATTAATAACATTATATAAATTTCTGAGTTCTATAAACTTTGCTATTATTAAGTAGGAGAACATAAGCAAACCATGTCACAGCACTCTGCCTCAAGGCTTCCTGGTTACAAAAAGAGTGAAGATTAAAAAACTGTTTGCATATATAGCCCATGAGCTTCTAAAGTGTTCAGCTTCTCAAGACAGATGATCTTGTATTTCCCAATTATTTAATTATAACAACCCATCCCTTTATATATCTGTATCTGCATAAATTGGACTATTTGGATCAGAATGAAGTCACAGTGCCTGGCCAAACCACTTGATGGCGCCATAAGTCAACTCCTCACTCAGCTAACTCATCTGGAGGTAGAGGAAAGGAGACAAGCTAAGTGTACATTCTATTCTGGAAAGAGCATTCACTTATCTCCACAATGGTTTCAAATCAAGGTGCTTAACATGGCCTGGTAGAGGAAGAAGGAAGTCGGAGATGAAATAACTTTTGAGCTGAGACTTAAACGAAGTGGAAAGGTTTGCCAGGTAAACAGGGAAGGACATTTTGGGTACTGGGAACAGCAAGAGCACAGGAAGTGTAATGTCCTCAGAGTAGTGTAAGCTGTTCAGTATGGTCCATCTATAAGGTGCATGTGAGGCAGTGGCAGGAGGAAGGCTGAGTAGCACAGAAAAGGAAATCCAATCACTGGACAGTACTGACTGCCAGAGTGTGAACTCTAAGAACAAAGCATGGTTGTGAATTGTTCTGGTTATTTTTAAATGCGAGAAGGTGTGAGTAGTACTCATGGCTGCATGACAGATGTCAAGGATCCAGGCACAATATGGAGTACAAGCCACTATACTGCCAACGCTTAGAACGCTTAGAACGGTACCTAGAACGGAGCAGAAGCACAAAGAGGAGCTAAAGGAATCAGCAGCAGAACATTCCGCTATGCAGCACTGAAGGAAGCCTGGGCCTTTCCCCTGCTGCAGTCCGGGAAGCCATTTACACCAGGAGGCTGACAATGTAACAGAGTATAAACCACAATTTTAGATATGCCTGAGCTTAAGCAAGATCACCCATTTAAACAAAGGCACACTACCTGGGTACTATGTAACATTTCAAATTATGTAAAATAAATACCTGTCATCTAGGTATAATACATCCTTCAGTTAAACAAAAACAAAAAAAACCAAAAAAACCCAATAAGCAATAATTAACCCATCTTTCCTGCTTACTCAGGGAAACATTACAGTGACCAGGTCAAGAAGATACTTATATTTTCATACGAAGTATGTCGGGCAGAGCAAATGTTAAAAGTTGCTTAAGCTCAACAATTTGCCATTTTAAATACTGCCAACTGAAACAGACTAGATCTTTACAGCTATAGATTTGGGCAAGTGCCCTGGCCTTCAAATTCGGAATCCTGAACTGAAAATAATTAACTCAGCCACAAAGCAAAGCTGAAGTTTGGTCTTTGCCAGCCTATTAAAAAAAAAAAATCCCTGGAGACAACTTGGTCTTTTTTTCTCACACACTGGAGCAGCTGGCTTACGTATCTGGTTTTAATGAAACAATTCAAGGGACCTCAATTAGGAACCAAAAAGCTACTACAATTCAATGTCATGGGGCAGTGGAAGGATGGACGTCCCATGCTGCATGGCCGGTATTTAACAATTCAACACTGGATCTCATAACTTCACATGGGAGAACATCTGTCATGCAGCCATGAGTACTACTCACACCTTCTAGCATTTAAAAATAACCAGAACAATTCACAACCATGCTTTGAAACACATGGATCCAGGCTCGTCTATTTGCACAATATGGAGTTTAGACATGGTGTTTAATCTGTCTTTTATGAGCATTAAATTCACTCGTCTAACAAGCACATATTCTTTTAAGGCAGAGGCTGCAGTTTCTATGAGGCACATGGGGGAAGTTTTTGCCCTCAACTCTGTGTATTCATTTGCCATTTCAGGATCTGTTCAGTTAAAAAAAAGCAGGAGTACTATATTCATAAAAAATGCCAATGTCATAAAAGACAAAAGCTGTGGATGTATTCCAGGTTAAAAGACACTAAAGAGGCAAGGCAACTATATAATACCTGGACCAAGACTGAATTATTTACTGGAGATAAAAGCTGCTATAAAAATATGGGGATTACAAATTGGGAGTGTAAGTGGCAAACTAGATAAAAATATTATATCCATGCCCTAATAGGTTGGCTCAGTGGATAGGGCATTGGCCTACAGACTGAAGGGTCCCAGCTTCGATTCCAGTCAAGGGCATGTACCTTGGTTGCGGGCACATCCCCAGTATGTGCAGGAGGCAGCTGATTGATGTTTCTCTCTCATTGATGTTCCTAACTCTCTATCCCTATCCCTTCCTCTCTGTAAAAAATCAATAATATATATATATTTTTTTAAAGGTAAAAATAAATAAATAAAAATATTATATCCAGTGTTAACTCTGAAATTGGTATCTGTATTGTGGTTATATAAAAGAATCTCTCTTTTTTTTTGAAATATACACTCAAGTATTTAGAGGTAAAGAACCATGATGTTTGCAACTCATTTACCAATGATAAAATAAATTGAGTAAAATGTTAACAGTGACTGAATCTGAGGAAAGGGCATTTGGATATTCCTTGTATTATTCTTACTCTTGCAATTTTTCTGTAGATTTGAAATTATTTCCAAATAAAACATTTTTTGAAAAACAAGGCTTCTGAAAATTTTACAGAATGAATTCAAAAAGTAAAGTTTCAGGATATCATCCTAGTGTCAGCTCTTTCTTACCTGTTCAGCATAAATGGCCAGTGCAGGGCACACAGAAGGGTCCACCAACTAGCCAATCAGGCTACTTCTGATTGTGCTCTTTCAACGAGTTCAACATAATTTGGACTATGCTTTAATTACAGGGCAATAATGAGGACAGATAGTTTACACCAACAAAGTACACTTTTGATGAGGTTTATGAAAAGACACTTCTTACCCTCTACTGAAAAATTATTAGACAGGGTTTATCAGGCTCAAACTTCGCTCCAAGGGCCTTGATATCACTCAGTCACTATGGTTTATTTGCATTGCCAGTAAATGCCCCCATAACAGCAAATCTGAATTCATGAAGGAAATTTTAAATGCTCTTATGGAATTATGGGAAAGAAGTTGAGGGGAATTTCAATTCAGTCCAAAACATGTTGGACATCCACTGAAAGACCACCAAAGAAAGCAACCTTACCTGCCTGGTATTTTAACAATATCACCAGGAAATAGCACGTGGGATGGAGTGGACAGGAAAGACTCTTAGTCCAAAAAAATGTGCCGACAGAAACACCACCAGAGAAAGCCAATCATTTTTAACTGAATGTCGTATGTATATAGAGACAGATTGTTTTGTCCCTCTGGTCAGAACTAACATGAGACTTCATCATTCTGATATGTTCACACAGCAATGACACCTGTACTTCCCCTCACCAACATCTGAATTTTTATATATCATTAAAATATATTTTATTGATATTTTACAGAGAGGAGGAAGGGAGAGAGATAGAGAGCTAGAAATGTCAATGAGAGAGACATCGACCAGCTACCTCTTGCACACCCCCTATTGGGGATGTGCCCGCAACCAATGTACATGCCCTTTACTGGAATCGAATCTGGGACCTTTCAGTCTGCAGACCACTGAGCCAAACTGGTTTCGGCTGAATTTTTATATTTTCACCAAATTCATTCCAAGTTTAAACCCTGAATGAATTCATATGAAGGAAGACAATAATCAATGAAGTTACATAATTCATCATTACTAGGGAAAAAAATGAAGTCAAATGAATAGATAAACACGATGTGGTACATCCATACAATGGAATATTATTCAGCTTTAAAAAGGAAATTCTGACATCTGCTGCAACACGGATGAACCTTGAAGACACTATGCTAAATGAAAAAAGCCAGTCCGAAAAGGACAAATACTGTATGATTCTACTCATATGAAGTACGTAGCGTAGTCAAATTCAGAGAGACAGAAAGTAGAATGGTGTCTGGCAGGAGCTGGGGGGAAAGGAGGAAGGAAATGGAGAATACTTGTTTAATGGGTACAGTTTCAGTTTGGGAAGATGAAAAAAATTCTGGAGATGGATGGTGGTGATGTTTATCCAATGATGCGAATGTATTTAATGCCACTAAACTAAATACTTAAAAAATTGGTAAATGGTGTTTTCTGTTATGTATATTTTACCACAATTTTTAAACTGTTAAAAATCACTACTATATTTACATCACCCTGATGTTTACTGTCATCCTTGCTCTAATAAAAATCAATTTTGTTCAGCTCTTGACCCTCTCTTGTGGTTATTACACAGGGCATTGGAACTGTCAGGGCATACCTTATATACCTGGCAACTAAGAGATATTAATAGTCTAATTCTCTCTAAATAAAATCCTAAGAACTTACAATAATTATTCTTCAACTGTTTACACTCCATGTAGTTCTACTCCTGGTTTCCCGACTTAAAAATTCTAAGGAATATTTTTTTTTAAATTTAGATTTGAAGTGCATAAAAGTAAAAAAGAAAAAAAAAAACAAAAACCCACGTCTTTAATCGTGTGCTAACATCACATTCACTTACTTAGGAATGTGATTTTCTTTCGTTACCAGGACAGCAATAGTTGCTGTGGAAACCACACAAAAACAGGAATACTTAACGGAAACAAACTCTACTCACCTGCACAAAGATGCCCTTGCTTTTATATTCCTCATGGATGCACTGAGAGAAGAAATCTACAAAAGCCTGGGAGGAGGTGGGAGTGAGAAGAAAACACACATCACATCACATCAATCTGTCTGATTTGTAGCCATGGGAACAAAAATAATAAACTATCCCCGTTAACATTATAGCTTCTAATCATTCTTTTTATTTCAAAAAGAATGCAGAAGAGACCTCAAACACCTCAAGCCCTCAAGTCATTTTTACCTGCCACTAAATTATTCTCTCACCAAATATAATATTTAGATCAAATTCTGACTTAACTGGAAAAGGCTCTTTTCTTTTTTCAGAAAGAAGAAATGTTTGATTATACAACAAAGGATACAGTCCTACTCCCTACTTGCCATTCAAACAGAAATACAATATAAATTCTGTTCAACTCTGTTCTATGGGGATTTTGTTGTCAATAAAGAGAAGAAAAGAACAAGCATCCTCTTGGCCCTGTGGGGTTCAGGAAGTGTAGAGATGAACCTGACAGCTCATCTTCTTGTAACAGCACAACTTTAAATCTACCTGTGAAATGCAATGTACAGGGCCATTTTTCAAATGTGAACTCAACCTCGGGCTTAAAATGCAAAGTCTCAATAATGACTCTCCTAGAATCCCAATAATTAGTTTTGTGTCCATGGAGCAGAACAGATAAGCAGTTGGAGTTCACTGATCACTTCCAAATACCTGGCACTCACTATCATCTGTCCACTGTGTGTTTCAAAGCCACAGAAAACAAGTAGATTGCATAGAAAACAGAGTTGCTGTTTGTTTTTCCAGTGGACACAAAGCCAGTGAAAAGGAAGGAAGGCGTATTGCTCTTTTCCTTCCCTGATCTATGGTGAGTTCTTATTATCCTATATAATAAAAGCTTAATATGTTAAGTGTCTGATTGTCCGGTCAATCAATCAAAGCATAATATGCTAATGATATGCTAAGGCCACTCAGCCCTTCGCTATGACCACCAGGGGGCAGACGCTCAATGCAGGAGCTGACCCCTGGTGGTCAGTGCACTCTTGCTCAGCCGGAAGCCAGGCTCATGGCTGGTAAGAGCAGCAGCAGTGGTGGGAGCCTCTCTCAACTCCGCAGCAGCACTAAAAATGCCTGACTGCTGGCTTAGGGGAGGGGGCCTAAGCTGTCAGTCAGACATCCCTCGAAGGCTCCCAGACTGTGAGAGGGCACAGGCTGGACAACCCCCCCCCCCTGCCACAGTGCAAAATTTCATGCACTGAGCCTCTAGTGTATTATATTTTGCTCATTCACCCCTAAAAGCTTATTTAATTTCAGCACCTCAGCACCTCACAGCAGGCATATCCATTTCAGAGATGTATCCTTCGCCTCCACAATGTATATGCAAATGGTGCTATTGACCTGCAGGCAGTTGGAAATGCATTCTAAATTATCTTCCTAGTAACATGAAGAGGTGAATGGTGGTATATAAAATTATGACATCTTACACAAAGTTCTGTAAAATTCTCTCATTCCAGAGTGCCAAGAAATATCTGTGAATTCTGAATAATGTATCAAAATACAGTCTATCTTGTGCTTACTATCGATATGTGTATAAGTGCTGACTGGCTGCAATCTTTCTACATAGCTCTGCTTACTTGAACTGATGCTATATGAAGGTGACTTATTCATCAATCAAATCCCCAATCTTAGATTCATTAACATTATGTTCTGATCGACTGTGCTATCTGGCCTAGGCCAACTTTCTCTGGAAAGTTCAAAATCAACTTTAACAGCAGTAATTTAGTGGGAGGAAAAATACCATCTGTGGATCTGAGATCTTGGTGTCTTGTTTATAAAGTTTATACCAATCGGTTCTCATTGGCTTTGGCTCCCCTGAAACCAGTGTAGGGTATTTTCCTTTTCTTCTCATTCCATTTGAAAACTGAGATTAAAAATAATTCTTCATTCTCATTCCAACACGATTTACTAAAAAATTATTCACCTTGGTTGCAGAGTAGATGGTCAGCAGTGGAACTGGATACATGCCACTGGCGGAGGAGATGTTCAGAATCACGCCTTTAGATCTATAAAGGAAAATGTTCCATAAACAGAATGAAATCATACACACAACTGTTTGTAAATTACAGATGGAGATACAGGTTTGAAACAGAACGACCTAGCTGTTTTTCTAACACACATCTTTCCTTGCCTATCATCAGCATGTGATATGCTTGGTCAATGAGTGAGGCATAACTCAATCAACTAAAAATAGCTCTTATTTGCAATTAGCTCATTTCTGAGTTTTAGTAATCTGGGGCATGACCTGATCAGATCTACAGTGTCCTGGAGTTGATCTCCACCTTCTGAGGCCTTATCTGCCCATAGCACCAAGAATTCTCACTTTAGAAACACTCTTATACTCCTGCATGTTTTTTTTTTTTTTTTTTTTTAGCATATCATCACATACTCCCTTGCATTTAAGCATTTTATGTGCACACATATTTCTCCCCTTCAACAAAACCGTAAGCTCCTGGACATCATAGCCTTTGTCCTCACTTTTCCTCAAAACATTCAGCACAGTCTGAGCATGTAACAGTACTTAATAAAACCTGGAAGTGAGTGACAGGTCCTGCCCTTCTACCTCCCTGGGTATTCGGGTGCTAAATGAAGAGTTGACTCTAACATGCGATACTATAGCTCCTCAAACCATATTCTTTAGCCAAAGGCAAAGCTTGAAAGCCTCTACTGTTACTTTTAAAGACTACTTACAGTTAAAAGTCGGAAAGTTATCAGGAGTTACTAATTCTACAAATAAATCAAAGTAGCTTGAGGAAAGCAATACTGTGAATATATGTGTTGTTAGCAAGCATGTATGGGCTAGATAAAGTGTGGAATGAAGGTTTGGGGAATTTTAGATTTAACAACCAACTTGTCCCCCCTCAAATCCATTCTTCTCATTGGGGTTGGGCCCCCTCTTTAGCTATGGCAACCTGACCTCACCCATCTCCTGTCCTCTAGATAGCGTTCCTTTCCTTCAACCCAGTTTCTCATTATTCTTTGTCTGAATTTACTTCCCCCAAAGTCTGTTTTTCCTTACATTTTTCTTTTCAGAGAGGATGGGAGGAGGAAGAGAAAGAAACATCAATGATGAGAGGGACTAATTGATTGGCTGCCTCCTGCATGTCCTCTGCTGGGGATCAAGCCCAAAACCCGGGCATGTGCCTGATTGGAAATTAAATCCTGACCTCCTGGTTCATAGGTCAATGCTCAACCACTGAGCAACATCGGCCAAACTATTTTTTTTCAATATTAAAAGAAGGGACTAAATAGGTCTTTTTAATACAAAATAATAAGAGAAACATGATTACATGGCATTATATTAGACATAAATCTGAAAGGAAATAATCCCAAAAGTTCACCGAGTGCATCTGCCAGCCTCTGGGCAAGATGCCACATCAACCGTCAAATCGAGTCTGGATCCTCAGCTTAATGGGTCATTGGAAACAAGTTTGTTTTTGTATGTTTTTTAATTGAAGTCCTTAACTGTAATCCAAACTTTCCTAAATAATGAAATCCATGAGCATTTTAGTCACAGAAATCAAATCTCAAATTTGAAAATGTCATATTGGGGTTTTGAAAAAAGTTGGAATTTAGTCAATGTTTTAATTATATAATTTTTGTATTCTTAAAAATCCGGTATTATTTTGTATTAGTTTCAGGTGGATAGCATAGTAATTGGATAATCATAAATTTTACAGTGTTCCCCTCAATATTTCCAGTACCCATCTGGCACCATACATACTTATTACAGTATTAGTGACTATATTTGCTCTAATGTACTTTTTGCTTGTTTCTCTGACAGAGACAGAAAAGCCTTTTCTTTTTAATTTTAAGGTAAGAGTGTAAGAGTTTCTAGCGGGAGTTAGAAGCCAATCATTAAAAGATAAAAACACATGAATTAACAATGACTAGTAAGTTCATTTTATCTATATTTATGAGAAATTCCTTTGATCAACATAGTATAAAAATCACTTCTACTGCTGGAGGTGTTTAATATAGCATCAATTTATGATGCTTAAATATCTTTATCTTTTCACAGTGCTGAAATATTCTGAAACTAGGTTGCAGTGATGGCCTCATAGCTTTGTGAATATACTAGAAACCACCAAATTATACACTTTATAAATGAGTGAATTTTATAGTATGTGAAATGTATCTCAATACATCTGTAAAAAAGAGAGAAAACATGTATATTTATGATATATGGAAGGTGCCATCTTTAAGCTCAAAGCAGATACCAAAGAAGTGGAAGCTAAAAGAGTGGTAAGTTCTCACCAGAACAGACTATTAAAACTTCATTCACCAAAGCAATGATTTCAGTATAGGAATCATTCACTTAATGATAACAAAAACTTCTTTCCTGTTTTCCAATACAACAGACCAATAATCAAGTAGGTCACAATCATGCACTTGCGCTTCTTTAACTGTTTACTCCTTGAGTCAACAGAGATTTTGGTTTTTCAAATATTCCACCCTAATTAAAATTTCCAGGAGGCAGAGTTAGTTTGAATTAGTGAAAAGTCAGAATTTGAGGGTACTTTATTCACAACACAATATTTGCACTCCAAAATACATCAAAACAAGTCTAAGACCAAGCAAATATAAAGCAAGAATGCACTAGACCTAAGTGCATTTATAAAAGGAAAGCATTTATAACCCTACAAAAATGGCAGCGGGGAAAACACCCCTTCTACAAAAACTCCGTGCTACCAAGAAGCACAAGGATTTGTTTGTCTAGCAAGAGCCTTCCTCCCACACCCACACACAAGACAGTATAAAATCCCCTCTCTTTCTCTCCAAAGATAATCATATTCACCTTAGTTTTGTCTGAATCATAAATAACACACCGGTCTAGCTGCCTCACTCCTTGTACTGTATACAGGATCTGTTCTTTATGCAGAGATGGGGGGTTAACATATGGGAATGCAAGGCATAGAAGACTGGGCTTAAAAATCAACTAATTTGTTAAGCTCTAATCCTCTAAGCAGAATTAGTGACGTCAAGCCGGTTTCCATGGCACAGCCAGGCTCATGACAGCTCTGTTATATCAAGCAGAAGGACAAAATGGGCTGCACTTAATAGCACACAGAAACAAACATAAAACCAAGCCCTGGCTAATCTCTCGTTTTCCGGGAACTTGGGGAACAATTCTAAGATGGATCGGAAGGTACATTAAGAATATTTGCTGAAGTTCATAATGAAGACTCACATTGCTTCAGCGCATTTCCAGTTTGTTATGACAAATAATTCAAATAAACAAGCCAGGTAGTATTTTCCGATACTAATGTCCTTAATGCATCTCGCTTCTTCTTGCTAACAGCCACATGATGGTGTCTCAGTGGCGCAAGTCACTGAGGTTCTACTAGAACTAAAGCGCAGCAGAAGCAGAGCAGAGAACACCACTGCTGATAAGGAAGAACCTTTTTCCCATAAGCATGTTCTCTTCAATTACTAGCCCTTCTCACAAGTGAAATGTTCAACTCGCCCAACACGATAAAACGCAACATCGTGCATTCATCGCTTCCTATGGATGGAATTCCCAATCACAACACTCTCCTCCATTGTCACCTGGATTTTAAAAACACCAGTCCTTTATTCTTCTGCACATGCCCCACTATTCCATCAGTCCGTTGTAGTAACCTTAACCACAGCTCTAGGAAAGGACTATTGTCACAGGGGAAGTGATAGGTCCCCTCTGAAGTAAGTCACCGATTTCTGTCTTCCTCGGGAACCTCCTCGCTGCCCCACACTGCAGGTGAGAGAGAGGTGGGACATACTTGCTGCTATGAAGAAACGGAGCATGGTCAACCCTAATGTGGACAGTTCATTGCATGTAAAGTTTGATGGCAGTCAAGGGAGACTGTGTAAAAAAGACTGTCACAATTACTCATATTCCCATTTCTAAGTGTGCTCTTGGAGGGTCACTGCTTTCATTTCTAAGCTTGAACAGAACACTGAACTTGGTACAGACAGTTCTCTAAACAGGCTCTCAAGAAGACGGAGAAACATATCAAAATAGTTCTAGGTCAGAAGAGAATCCTGGAACATGGGGGTCAGGTAGATAATTAGAACTAGCAATCTAAGAGCAGTGTACAAATATTTCTTTGTTGAAGAAAGTTTGCAAACACTTACCACACAAAAGAGAACTGCCTGTCCTAAAACACCATAACATGTCATAATTCCACCTTAAGCAATACAGTATGAAAGAAGCTATTTTTAGCTTTTCCATGGTTGTTATGGCAACCACCTCCTGGCTCCAGCTGTACACGATGTTTATAATTCCAGGGAAGTGGAAAGAGCAAATTTCCTCTATAATGCAATTATGCACTTTCTACCTCTCTGGTAACATAATACCTTGGTTTGATTGCAGATATTTGTTTAGTGATGGTCAGTTGTCCTTCGGCTATAGTTCCACAGGGTTTGGAAAATCTCATACATCAGAGACAGAATCAGTGCAAGGGGGAAAAACAACAACAAAGGATCTTTATACAAGACTCTGCTTTTACTCAATGTAGATACAAATCCAGTGGTAACCAGGCATAGGAAATATGCCATTTGGGGACAGTGTAAAGTGCAGGCTATAAAATAATCACTTATAATGTATGAGGCTTATCAGATGAGCTGGTAAATTTGAGTTTTTCTTTCTTCTTGGGCACACAGCTTCTGACTGAGTTCTGGACAATGGAATGTGGGCAGAGCTGATTACAGCACTTCCAGGCCTGGCCCGTGAAACCTCCATAAAACCATTTTTATTCTCTCACCTCATCTGTTAGCTGGATCCAGAGGACTCAATAAAGATCTGCAAGGCCCAAGGGAAGAAGAGGGGAGGCCCTAGATGGAAGGAGCCTGAGACCCTGAATAACTAGGTAGAGCAGAGCCCTGATTATTGATTCATATTAGCTGTGCTGCAAGGAAAAAATCAACTATTCTGGTGTTAAAACACTGAGATTTGGAGGTGGTCTGTTATAGTAGTTAGCCTACCTTGACTAATTCAACTAGAAACTCTTTTAACTCAAGTGAATATAGCTGTTATTCCCCCTAAAAGAGCTGTTTCATAAAATCCACTAGTTTATGTAGTTAACAAGTGCCACAATCACCCCCATGATGTCAGTTTCAGTCCAGCCTCTGATGGCTTTTGCCAGATCATTTCTCAACCTCAACTTAAAATCAACTTAATTTCTTGAAGGCAAGGATCCAATGACTCTTCTGTGTACTCCATGATAAAATTTACTTAATGACTGCCTGTTGAATGGATGGATCCTTTTCTTTGCATTCTTTATTTTTACCTAATGCTCCAACTATAACTGTGATATGACTGTGAGGTCTACAGAGGTAGAAGTGAAGTTCCTAGGGCCTAGTGCAGTTACTAAATATGTGGCTTCATAGCACTCATTTAACTTAAAGTACTGAAATTCTATGATTCTTAGAATCTAATATTTTATGATATGCAAAGATATCACAATGGTGTGGTTTTTTTATTTAGTTTTTCACCAACACACTAAAAATGCCTTTTATTATATCCTCTGTGATTTATAAGTATGTGAGTTTTTCTTTTTTAATGGATAAACTTCCTATTCTGAATTAATATCATATCACTTGCAGGTGCCAAAGTAAGACTAAGATGGTGGCCCAAATTTCATCCATCCCAAGTTCTATTCTGTCTGCCCTAATTCTCTGCAGTTTTTTAGGGTTCTTGTCTGGTTTGACTACTGTCCCTTCCATATCTGACCATCAGGGAGACACATGCCCATGGTCAACCAACAATAAGCAACTTGAAGATTTTAAAGGGAAATTTGACTAAAAACAAGCTTTTAAAATATACAAAAACTACATATAAAATGGAATTACAAACAAAGAACCTTAGAAGAAAGAAACAGAAGCAGTTTCTGAACCGGTCTCTACAGATGCCAAACAAAATGGATTCCTAACCTCAATTTCCTCATCTGTGCAATGGTGGGAGCTATCAAGGTTAAAGGAGTTAACATAGAGCATGCTCTTGGTACAACACCTGGCATACAATATGTACTCAATAAACATTAGCTGTAATCTCTGCCTGAAGCTGGTTGCAGAGGTTTCTTCACAGAGGTAGGATCCTAAGTCTTCCCTTTTCAAAGCTGTGATTCCTTTGAAGGGTCTTTTAAACGCAAAGCTATTTTGCAGAGGAAGGATGACTATGAAGCCCTAAATTTAGCAAATGAGCAAGCTAGCTCAAGATGCAAGCCCAGCTCTTTTCAACGAGTTTTCTTTGAAGGTCTAAGCCATCCTTCAGGCTTTTCCAAGGCAAGAACAGAGTTTCATCACAATTTGACACTTCATGCTATTGCAAATGTAAGAACTCAACAACACATTTCTCAATAAAAATTAAGACATCCAGCACGTTCTAGTGGAACTCAATATAAAGTGGAACAATGAGGCTGGTGGACATAGTCTTTTTCCTCCAAGGGTGGGGCTGACATCTTATAATCACTTCATAGCCCAGGTTCCTCATATACCCATGATCCCAGGAAGACCCGAAAAACCAGAGGAATGGGCCCCCCTTCATGAAACTCCACTGGTTTGGGCTCTGAGAGCACACAGCTCTGAGAGGGGATTCCCCGGGACATCCCAGGAACTCTATCCACCCCCTCAGAACAGCAGGCAATTGAGTTAGTGTTGGTGACTCAGGCAGACTTTTTATCCAGATCTGAAGGAACCACTGCAACCCTGGAGAGGGGAATGAAAAGGGAATGGAGTGGAAAAAGCCTCCCCCACCAGATGACTCACACTTCGCCCTGTGACTCATTACTATCACTAAGACATGGAGGAGAGGTTCATTAGTCACTTTAGTGAATTTTTTTTTCAAAGAAAGGATTCTCCCTATAAATAACCATGAGCTCTGTCTCTCCAGTTTGGAGCATGAGGTCGTGACTCACCTTTCTACCATGCCAGGCAGCACTAAGCGTGTCATCTGCAAAAGAGAAAAACAAAACATTTGTGACAGCTGGGGATGCAGCAGAGAAAAAGTGAAAAGAACCCACCCATGCAAACAAGAAGGGAATCACAAAGCCGCTCACCATCTCTACAGATAGCACCTCTATTTTATAGAGTTATGTGATAGGTGCCAAGAAAAGAAATCAGATGAAATTATCGGAGAGAACACTGGGAATACTTTCAGTGAACTTGGCTAAAATTATTCTTACCTGATATGTTAATACTGGCACAGAGATCTTCAAATAATTAAAGATTTACAGTGAAATCTAAGTATCTCAAAATGCATAAGCAGGAAAGGACAAGGGTTATCACAAGAAATAATGTGCCTACAAGATTGCTTAAGCTTTCTCATCTCAAAGGCTCAAATGATCTTCCCCTTCAAAAAAGCTATCTTAGTAAAATAAGAAGACATATATTGTTACCTATATCACCATTTATGTAAACTAGAGGCCCAGTGCAAAACATTCATGTACTTGGGGTGGGGGAGAGGTGTCCAAGCAAAAGGGTGCAGACCCCCAGATGGACATGGGGGGGGCGCAGAATGAGGGGTCCTTAGCAGGAGAGGCTCCCGCCATCACCGCTGTGCTCACCAGCCCTGAGTCCAGCTCTGGCTGAGCAGTGCTCCCACTGTGGGAGTACACTGACCACCAGGGGGGCAGTTCCTGCATTGAGCGTCTGCCCGCTGGTGGTCAGTGTGTGCCATAGTGATCATTCCTTCCACCGTTCGGTTGATTTGCATATTAGCCTTTTATTATATGGATAAGAAATAGAGTATAACAACTTGTTTTAGAATCCAGGCTATTCACATAATAATTAGGACACCACAAATACTAGTAGCCACTTTGTTCACTTTTGCCCTGCCCTCTATCCCAGAGTAACTTGCTTGGAGTAAACAGGATCTAAATTCAAGCAACTGAAAAATGAGCTCACACAAATTAGAAGAAAAATAATACAAATGCTTTAAGCAAGTTCTCAATTGGTATCATTAACAATAATTTTAAAAACCATAGCATAACAATGAAAAGAATTACATGAAGCAGCAAAACTGTTGTATAATGCCTGTTTTGGAGAAATTAGATGGTAACTCAATTTGAAGTCATATTAGAATAAAATAGCACACATTTCCTTTGGAAAACTGTATAATTTGTGCTCTGTGTTACCAAGAATAGAACTTAATTAGAAACCCTTACAATTTAACCTGTATGGGTAACTGAATATTTACTGTGCAGGGGATGAAAGCTTAATTAGGTAAAGTTTAGAGTGTGCTCTGAGATCTCTACATACTATTTGATTTTCTTCTTTATTAATGTTTAAGTCTTTGTGGAAGGTAAGAGTCTTCCTTGCCATTTCCTCCTGAATGACTTAACCTGAAATTCAACCCAACGCCATAAAAACCAAACATTTTGTAATAAATTATAGTTTGATATATGCTAAAATAATGTAACAAAAGTAAAAGAGCTTTCCAAAAACAGAGGGCTTTGGAAATAATAATGTGTCAATTATTAATGAATCTAAAGCCATAACTTATAAACTGTCAAAATTTAAAATAAAAAAACACATATCATCCTAGACTGTTTTTCTAAAGTTAGCATACTATAATATGCTAAAAGTTTCCATCACTTAAATTTTCCCCAAATAAGCAGACTTCTTAAAAAGTGACAGATTTTAGGAGAAAAGAATCCCTACAGTTCTCAAAGAGATCTTTACATTTTCACCCACATGTAAGAAACTTCTCCTTTACTAGCTTTTCTCTGAGCTAGAAAGAACCTTAGAATCAACCAGCAACTACTCCGTTTTTGTTTTTTTTTTTAAAGATGATAACGATTGAAACAGCAGTTGTAATTCAATTTTGCAAACCCAACATTTTGTGGCTGTGTTTGGAACAGCCCATTACTATGAGACCCCATGGCTAAATGTCCCCAGTCATTGAGAAAATGGAGGAGCATAATGACAGCTGCTTTCAAATGCACTAAAGCATTCTGGGTATTAACTTGTACCATCTTCATCTAGAGAAGCCCTGGGTGGGGTTCAGTGGTGAAGGCCATACTCACCTTCCGGTAATTTATTAATTTCCTAATGTTGTTAACTTGAATTATTGTGGCAGGGTGGGGATAAATTCTTAGCATAATCCCTAAATTAAATACAATTAGAATGCTTAACAGATTCTTCTCAGGGATTTCCAAATTAATAGAGAGCTCCCCCTACTGGTACCATGTCACAGCCAAGGCAAATCTACGTAAGAAAAAGGAAACAAATGCTTCACCTGTGCTTTTCATCCATCTGCACCCCACCCCCCCTATACAAACATTTATCACCAACAGATAGGGCATAGCATTATCTTCTTCCAGCTGAGTAACATACCACAAGTACATAGTGGTATCAGAAGGAAAAAGTTAGCTTTTCAAATACTCCAAGTGCCTTAATTTCTGATGATCATAGAGATGGAAGAAATTTATTTAGTCAAAGCCATTCTAATCTCTCAATATCACTAAGCAATTCTGCAGTTTGAATAGACTGAATGTCTGGAATTCTCTGAACAGGGGAATGCAAACCCAAATGCCTAAAAGGGCCAGGTACATAACATACACTAGTACAGCAAATCAGACAATAGAGACTAGTGGGGACTATGGAAATCTGGAGATTGCAAGCCTAACTATTTAGCATAATTAGCTGCTACTCAGCTAAATCACTGGTTGCCACTCAGCAGTTCAGCTCGGTGTTTCCTGATTTTCAGATTTTTCCCAAGAGAACCTAGAAATGTGGGTATGAAATGTCCCAGTTTTGAAAACACTGCTTAAGCCAACTGAAGTATGTTGGTAGGGCACATTCAGCCCACAGATTACTGGTTTGCAACTTCTGACCTAGAATCGGAAAAGGAACTTACCGTCTGCCCATTCCCCTTCTGACAGATTCAAAGATTAGGAAGTTCTTATAATTTACTCCAGTGTAAATATCAACAACTGATCCAAGTTCACCCTTCTAGGGTCCCATACAGTAAGTGTGATCCTTATCCCCAAAGAATTAGCATTTTTATTTTTTTCATTCATTCTTTTATTTTAATTCAAAAAGCATTCATTTTATACCCACCACATTTGAGGCTTGGGGCTCAGAAATGGAAAGAAAAGAAAGGACATGGTACCAGTCCTCATGCTATTCACAATCTGTAGGGAGACACTCAACCAAAAGTGAAAAGCTGAGCAAAGAGAAGACAGGTGGTGTGTGCTGAAACTGCCTGAGAGACCTTGTCTCTTCTGGAGGGATCAGGAAGGCTCCCTACCCCAGTCCCACATCAATTGCATAAACTTTAATTGAGAACTAAAGGATGAGTAGAATTAGTGAAGTCTGGACAAGGGAGACTTCCATAGAGAGAGACCAGCCTGAAGGAACATTCGGTTCAAAGGCCTGAATGAAGGTGCTCTGACCTGAGCACATTTGGAGGTGGAGAGATCTTAAGGGAAACTGGGGGGGAGGGAGGGGGGAGGGGGGAAGCAGGGACCAAGTCAGGTGAGTCCTTCCCTGTCTGTAGGTCACATTCAAGATTTGGACTTGAGGAAAAGGAGAAGTTGCTGAAGGATTTAACAGGGGTGCAACCCAATCCGATGTAAATAGCACTTTGGCTAGAATATGGAGATTAAGAAGAAGACAAGGCTACTCCAGTAATTCTAGCTGAGAAATTTCACAGCTTGGAATCTGGGAAGTATTACTCAGGAAGAAAAGTTGATTTGCAAAATAGGAGGTAGAACTGGAATTGATGGTGTGTGTGTGTGTGTGTGTGTGTGTGTGTGTGTGTGTGTGAGAGAGAGAGAGAGAGAAAGAGAGAGAGAGAGAGAGAGAGATATGCATGTTTCCTTTCTTCACTCTGAACATCTCTAGTTCTTCCAACAATTCCTAATAAAACATAGTTTCAAGTTCCCACTCTGGTTGAATAGCTGATGAAGGAAGAACTACATTCTGATCCCCTGCTTAACACTCTTCCTCCTCATCCTCAAATAAGGCAAACCAAACTCAGTGGTACTTCACTCAAAGTGGAGGTTACTAATAAACTTTACCTTGGGTCGCACCCTCACCTACTTCCTTCTTTGCTCTAAGAAAGGTAAGATAGAAATTTCCTAAGGGATTCAAGTCTAGCCAGGGTCATTCCCTGTGATCCACCTTAGTCACCAAACCAGTAACAGCTTCTGGGTCCAATATCATCAGAAGGAATGATTTTCCCACCCTTGGGGAGCTAGTTTTGGCAGTGTCCATCTGAAAAGTGATAAAGAGTGTATGGTGTCTTGAGATCTTAAAGTTATTAAAGAAATAAAAAAACAAATTGGAGGGAGGATGGCAACTCCTATTATGGCAAATGCTAAAACAAGTGATCTCAAATCAGAAGCAAGCAACACAAGATCTATTTTAAAACTTGTCCTTGGATTAGTGTGAAGCTCGTTATCCTACCTGTGGAGACTGGACTTGTATTTGCCTGCCTCTGGAGTTGTGGCACTTCCTTTTTCACGATTCCTCTAATAATCAATAGCAGCACAACAATTTAATTTGCAAAATCTCTGTGCTTTGAGATATAAAGCCCTCCAGGCATGAAACGAGAACTATTTTAGAAGAGTGTGGTTCAATATCTGGAGGTTTAATGTCCTCTGAACTACCATTTCTGCTCTGAAGGTCATTATCTTAGACTAGAGTCCCATTGCATGAATTCGTGCACCAGAGGGGTCCCTTGGCCTGACCTGCAGGATCGGGCTGAAACAGGCTCTTTGACATCCCCCAAGGGGTCCCAGATTGTGAGAGGGCACAGGCCAGGTCGAGGGACCCCAATGGTACATGACTGGGGCAGGGGAGGGATGAGAGAGGTTGGCCAGCCCGGGAAGGATACGGGAGGGCTCCAAGGCATGTCTGGCCCATCTCGTTCAGTTCCCATTGGTCAGCCCCCATGAGCAAGCTAACCTACCAGTAGGAGCATCTTGCCCCCTTATGGTCAGTGCATGGCACAGTGAGTGTTTGAGCGACCTTAGATATCATGAGCATATTATACTTTGATTGGTTGAACGGCTGACCAGACACTTAGCATATTAGGCTTTTATTAAATAGGATTTTAGTCACAGACCATCTGAAATCACAAGGAAAAATCCCCAGCTAGTAGGGCTCTCTTCCAGGTTAAGGCTAATCTATCTGTCATATTGGCCATCTATATAGAATTTCCATACTCCTGGCTCTTCTTACCTTAGCATTTACCTGCTCTGCAGGATTTGAAAGATTTGAAAGCAAAATTGGAAAGCAAGCAACAAGGCTTCTAAACATCCCTTAGGTTGCTTCAACTAACAGTATCATGCCTGGTAAAGAGAAAGCCCAGTTAAGTAAGTCACTGAGAGAGAAAAAAAGGAACAAACCTAACTACTGAGTAAGATGAAAAGTGAACTGGAGGGCTTGGTGGCTGGGAGAGAGGACTAAACTGGACTCTATGATTCACCATCAAGGATCTATTGGCAAAAGCATTCGGCTGACATTTCTCTCCCAGTATTCTTCTGTACCACTCACCACTACTTCTGCTGGTGACAACCTCTAATTCTTTTGGTCAAGATATTTCATTTTTATTATTCTTCTAATGGAATATGACACTTAAGTGATTTTTACAATGATCTGACCTACTCATATAGGATAGGAGCACGTGGACCAAGCAATAATCCTGGACCTGAAGGAATGTAAAGCCAGGTCACTCAATGCATAGCACCTAACTTAAAAGATGCTGCGGACCTACCAGCAAACATCTCCAAATTCCCAGCATGCTTTGCAGCCAGTCAACCCCTATCATGGTTTGGTAAGGAGATAATACTTTGACCAACACTGGTGGTGAGAAAAGGATTTTCTCTTTCTTATATAAACCTTTTTGATGTATTTATTGTGGCTTTAGGCTGCAGACATCCATGCCCTAGTTCCCCTGATGTCCAGCCACCATAAAACCTTGTAAGATTCTAGAGCCAGACCAATTCTCATCTTGTTTTAAGTTACCCCAGGGCTCCAAACAACCATTCCTACTGAAAATGCAGCCCTGGCCCTGGCAACATAACACAGTCAACAAAAGGACAATAGGCACAATTCATCAAAATATGCCACAGGACAGATGACAGCAGCATGAAAGAGCACTGAATCCGGGAGGCCACACACAAAACTTCATCAAGGCCAATGCCCTTTTCTCAGTATAAGCAAGACAAACGCATATACTGTAACATACGTATTGCCATGTCCCTCCTGCCACTAGACCTGCCTTTCTGAAAGGTAGATCAGATCACACCTATTTCTCCTTTTCAGCCTCCTGTGGCTCTCCATCGTTTTGAGCACAGCACTCAGCTTTGCTGCATAATCATGTCTTAACTTACTTTTCTGGCCTTCAGGTTAGCTGCCCCGCCACTCGCCTCCCGCTGTGAGCCAAACCTTTCATACCTAAACTACCCAACTGTGCTGCAGAGATGGTAACTGCTCAGACCCCTGTCTACAGTACAATAAAAAGGGGCTGTGCTCCAGATGTCATTAACTCCATGACAACTAAATAAAGAGTTTTAAATGGGTTTTCCAATAAAGTGCGCATCACTAAGGTACAGGAAAATTCATACTTACATTAAAAATAAAGAATGATTATTTGGCTTAATGAAGAAGGGTTTTAAATGGCAAATGCTCTGAGTGTCATAAGTGAGATTTGATTTGCAAAAAAACGAGTTAATATTCAAAAATGTTAAGCATTTATCCAGTTCTCCTTGTGATCCTTCCCATCTACATATATCAAAGGCTAATATGCAAAGCGTCCTCTTAAGAATTCGACCAAGAGGCCAGAAGTTCCATCACTCACTATGATGCACCAGGGGATGGTGTGGAACAAAAGAAGGCTCTGGCTGGCAGCTAGAAGGCCCCAATCAGCCCTGATTGCTGGCCAGGCCTAGGGACACTACCTGTGCATGTATTTTGTGCACCCAGGCCTCTAGTCAACAATATAATAGGATATGGTATGTTTCATAATTTAGCATTTGCTCCACTATCTCATTTCATGGGAACAAGCATATTTGACAGTGTAAAAAGAGAAAGTGGAAGAGGAAGAATGAAGAGGTGGGAGAAGCATTTTATAATTTGTCAAGGTATTAGGACTGGTGGTTCACTTTTATTTCATCATTATTTTGAACAAACTGAAAGGTGCTCTACAGTGCTGTTGGGTTTGAGCTGCTTTCTCCACATTTGCCCCCTGCACTGCTCATTCTTTAAGTAGGGGCATGAGGTGACCACCACCACACAGGCTCATCTGTGCTCAGATGCTGCTTTTAGGATGCAGTGTGTGGCCATGTAACACAGCAAGCTGACTGGTTCTCACAGATCAAGGTCTGGACCTTGGCCTTTTATCATTAGTGTTCTGTAAACTGCCAACCAAAAACGCATGTTTTGTGAGACCGAGTAGGCCAGGGTTTTTACTATAAGTGTATACACCAGTTCAGTTCAGTTCTGACAAGCAGGAGAAAATACTAACTTGTCTAGTATAAAGTTTATTTGACAGAGGGATTAAAATTATCAGGAGACTAATTTGTAGTTAGTATCAATTCTATAAAATAAAATTTAAATATTCAAACATATTTTTCATCATTAACTCATTATAATATATTATGAAACATATACATAATTTTAACACTCTTTTTAAATATGTTTTTCTTTTTAATTGATTTTAGATTTGCTAGTCTTCACTTTAGCATATATTAGCTATGGTGTCTTTGGTCAGCGTTTACAAGTGACAAGCCTGTAATACATGCCTAGCAACTAGAAACTAGAGTTGTTTTTACATGTGGCTAAGAAAAATTGTTCTTTATTGTCCCATACTTCCCATACAATACTTTACCACAATATTTAACTCATTAATTTACATATATCACAGAAACTATAAAAGGGAAGCAATTTACCAATGATGACTTGCATATGGATGAAAACTTTGTAAAAATCAATCTTAAGCCTAAGTTAAATTGTTTGATCCCTGGGCCTACCATAGGGTTGCATATAATAGAGGCATTTAATTAATGTCTCGTTATTAAAAAGCAAAATTATACAGACACCAGTTTGGTATTCAGTTCTTTCTACTTCCTGAAGACATAAGGAAATAGACCACTTTTATCTGGAAAACGTATATACATCGAAAGAGGAGTTGACTGAAATGAACAAGCTGATTATTTCAGTGTCCTTAAACAAAAAAAGACAAAAAAGGCTGAGAAGCTGCTTACCTTACAAACAGAAAGAACGTTAACAATTATCATTTTCTTGATGGTCTGCAAAAAAACATATTATTTTATAGATCATGGAAATGACCACAAAATACATATGTGATCTGAATGATCTGGAGATGCATTGAAAGTTTCCCTGGGGAACAGTAGAGTCTCGGGAAATGACAGGAGTTGGGATGGAGAGATTTGATTTTACTAGTACTCTCATTGTTATAGTACTTTTCTACCAAAAGCAAGCAATTCATGCTAATCTGAAAAACTCATGGTACCTGTGCAAGTCAAATCTGAAAGCAAAAAGACAAACTTAATCTAAAGTAAATATGAACCATTTGTAATTTCCTCTCTGCTAATACAAAAAGGAGAAATGATTGAAACTACGGATCTCAACAATTTTTTTTTAATTTTACATAGTCCTTCAATGATACCCTCTTTTAGTCTTTATTAAGAATTATGCATGCATCAAGGATACAGCTTTCATTTTGGTAGAGCTAGTCTACCTGAATCACTAGTATATTGTTGTCTATTAACAACTTTATGATTTCTAAATTAGTGTTCGGAATCCTAATACTTAAAACAAAGCTATTATCATCCCTGGGACTGTACAAATGGCATTATAAATATTTTCTCATTCAACCCCCTTATGAAGTCTATTGTATGGCAAGGGACCGGACACAAAGTATGGTAGAGATCATCCTCAGAGTAACTCAAGTAACAAGTAGAAGGGCCAAGGATTGAACCTCAGGCAGCTGGACTCCAGGGCTCACAGTCTGAGCCATTTACCACACTGTCTTCCCAATACCTGCATGCATTCCTTTTGTTATCATAATATACAAAGAAAGACTTACGTTGTCCAAGTCTGGAATGTCCAAAAAGAATTCAGGATACTCATATGCTACTCCCACATTGTTCACTGAAATAAGACAAGATTGTTAGCCTGCTAACATATATATTTTATAGATTTTAAAAAATATATTGGGATTAAAGGTTTCAATAATACTATTTATGGTTGGAGTGACATTTTCCACAACTTTCTATTCAAAAATGTATCCATGTGTGTACACTTCAAGAGTCTCCTCTGTCATTAAACCTGTTTGTACCTACCATACCCAGCTCCTGACAAAAGAACTTATGTTCACCTTCCAATTTCCATAACCCCTTGGAGTATGCCTATTCTGCCTCTGTAATAGTTATTTGTAGACATTGCTCAACTCCTTTCTAGATCTTAAATTTTCACAGTAGAAAGAGCAGAGAATACTGTAGTAAGGTAAACTGGAAACTTGAGTTCCACTTATAACCATTTCAGAAAATGTGTGACTTGGGATAAGTCACATAGGACAGGTATCTGTTTCTTCAACTCTGAAATGAGAGCTCGTTCAGTCATCCAACAAAACCTGAAGGAAAAGTCAGTCTCTGGCATCATGAAGCATACAATTGAGTAGAAAGAGAATGGCACTACACAAAAAGAATTAAAACAATTATTTCATTACAAAGTACAAAGTGTTATAGGAGTCTATGTCTGGAGCATCTGAGCTTATCTGGGAAGTGAGAGAAGGCTTCTCTGTGAAGGCCAAGAGAGTGGGTCAATTATCTCCAGCAAACCATCCTTGCCTACTAGCCCATAGGCCTTGAAGCCAGGCTTTAGTCTTCCTATATTCCTACTCTTCAACCACCTACCTAAGATTGGAGCTACAAGACAAGTGAGAAGCTATGAATAAGCATATATAATTAGGTACATGACTATCACTCAGATATCCTTTAGCTTCCTTAGCCCAGGAAAGACAAAGACAAACCCAGAATAAAATATCTTAGAATTTATTTTAACCAAATACATAGTGAAATGGATTATCTATCTGTCTATCTGTCTACCTATCTATCTATTTGTATTTAATCATCATAACAACTACATTACCTCCCTTATACATATTAGAAAACTGAAGTTCACAGCAGTTAAATTACTCGCCCAAGATCAGAGAGAAGAAATTCAAACTCAGGAAATTTGACTTCAGAGGCTAGGCCCTTAACCACTACATTAAAGCCCTCGTATGCCTTCATCCAGTCTTCAGTTCAGAAAAAAATATCAGTAATAATTGGAAAATAAATAGAAATCTGATACCGATGTTTAATAAAACTGTTAAGTATTACAAGAAAGGTTTCAGTAGCAAAAAGATAATGAAGTTATGATTGTCTACTAAAGCTCATAAGGAATTGTGCCTGATAAACCTGATAGTAGTAATAGTAACTTTTTCAATAGACTAACAAAATTAGTAGCTCAAAGGAACTCAATAAGAGTTCTATATTTAGCAGTAAGCCAGTCACTTGAGGCTGTGAGTCTCAAAATTCTACTTGCACAATTTGGTCAGCATGGCCTGAACAAGATCGCTGAAACCTGCCTGAAAATCTGAAAGCAAAAGATAATGACAATGTAAACTGTATTTAATTAGGATTCTTACCCATCTGAATAGGCATAGTATCTACACATAATTAATAACAGCAAGTCCAAATCCATTTTTGTTTTATTCAATAGGTTTTCTATCCACCAAGGGTTCTGGGATTCAATTCTATAAAAGCTGTTAAAATTAAGCCCAAACTAGTTGCAGGTGGGACTTTATACTCACTGGACTTTGCTTTAACCATCTTCGGAATTACAAAGGATAAATAACTTATTTACAGCATGATTAAGAGAAACAGCAACACTCAAAATATCTATTAAAGTGCTCCACGTAAAATAGTCTTTAAAAAGTCAGGTTAAGATAACAGAATCCTTGCCCTAGATGGTTTGGCTCAGTGGATGGAGCTTAGGCCTGCGGGCTGAGGGGTCCCAGGTTCGATCCCAGTCAAGGGCATATGCTCAGGTTGCGGGCTCAATCTCCAGTGGGAGGTATGCAGGAGGCAGCCGATCAATGATTCTTTCTTATTGACATTTCTATCTCTCTCTCCCTCTCCCTTCCTCTCTGAAATCAATAAAAAATGTATTAAATAATAATAATTAAAAAATAAATACATAAAATGTGTTGTTGTTTTTTAAAAAGATAACAGAATCCTTAAAGAAAGAATCTGTCAAATTGTAATATTCATCAGGATTAAAAACAAATTTCCGCCTCATACAGCATACTCCATCTCCCTTCACTTTCCCATATCTAGAAAACTTTCTTTACATTCCTTTCTAGCCCGTGGGAAAATTAATGCTCTACTTCAGTATACTGAAGAAAATTGAGTAGTATAATTATAAATCATTTAAGATCTAGATTGGGTTTGTTTGTTTTTAAAGTCTGGGATTTTGCGAGCAGCACAGTTGACTTTGCAATCTTTGTGACATGTACTATAAGCACAGAGTCCAGCTAAGGAAGCTCACAAATAAATAACTAAACCAGTAGGAAGTGTTATTCTGGTTAAGGCCACACTATTGATAGAAAACCTTCAGATATGTCTCTGCTAACTGAGCAAAGAAAAGCTATCAAAACTCTCTACTCACACAATGAGAACCTGAACATCTACTTAACACAGCTCTAAAAAAACCCCAGTCAACATGGAGAACTTCTGCCCAAATAAATAAATAGTATCACGTATAAGGGCTACACTTTCATACTACACACAGGAAAAAAAGATAAAGTGGGAACAGAACTTCAGAACCCTGAACCAAATTTTATGAGGGGGAAGTACCTGCCAATGTCAAATTGGCAGCAGTTTTCAACTAGTGTGCTCAAAGAATTTTTAAAACATGCAATACCTGACTATTTAGTAAGGGGCACTGGCCTCTTTTCCCTTAAATTATGAAAAACACACACACACACAAACACACACACACACACACACACACACACACACACACATAAATAAATAAATAAATAAATAACACAAGAAAACAACAACATGAAAAATGGCCCTGGCCAGTTCTGCTCAGTGGCTAGAACATTGGTCCATGGACCAAACCAAAGCATTGAGGGTTCAATTTCTGGTCAAGGGCATGCACTTGCATTGCAGGCTCGAGTCAGGGCACCTGCAGGAAGCAACCAATCAAATTCTCTCACATTGATATTCCTCTCTCTCTCTCTCTCTCTCTCTCTCTCTCTCTCTCTCTCTCTCTCCCTTCCACTCTCTCTAAAAATCAGTGGGAGAAAAGGGGGGGGGGGGTATCCTCAGGGGAGTGATACCAGCCAGCACAACAATAGATGTCTGGTGTGAATGAATTATACCTATTTTTGTCAGGTCAACAACAACAAAAAATGTATTCTTGGTGTGCCGCAGAACTTTCGCTAGTTTGTGTGTGCCATGGGGTGAAAAGGTTGAAAGTCGTTGTTCTATACCAGGGAATAGGGCTCTTAAATCTCTTTGTGCTTTATTGGCTGCACTCTTTGTTAGTGAGATATACGATACCCACTTTCTCTCCAGAGAGGCTATAACCACTCAGAGTGCTATTATTTAAGAATGTAGAGGAAAAACAACTGTTGCTCTCGAATGGTTATTTCTATAAACTGCACAATTGTGAAAATCTCTTGGAAGAGGCAAACTGTTTGCAATTTTATTTTATGACATTAGGTGGCAGCAATAACCAAGTGGCTGGAGGAAAGCTTTCAGGGAACTGGAAAAGGAGGAAAACAGGTTTCCTTTAGGGTAGGAGTAAAGGATGGAATTATTTCCAGGATAATTTAATTTCATTAAGATTGGGTGCATACAATGCCATTTTAAATATTACAGAATTTATTCTAGGGTTCACCAAACCAAAGAATGCCACAAGTTATTTTTACATTATTCAGATAGTTGAAAACCTTTCTAAATGGAAGCATTTTATGTCTTTTTTTTTTTAATCCTCACATGAGTATATTTTTTTCCCATTGGTTTTTATAAAAAGTGGAAGGGAGGGAGGAGGGGGAGAGAGAAACATTGACATGAGAGAGATATATCGATTGATTGCCTCCCTCACATGCTCCTTCAGGGGCTGGGGAATCTGAAACCAAGGAAAGTGCCCTTGACCAGTCCACAGACCGATGTTCTAACCACTGAGAAGACTAGCCAGTGCAATGGAAGCATTTTAAATTGGCATTAAACAGCTGTTCATTCGTGGGGGGTTTTAATCCTACAAGTGAGGCATGAGAGATTTAAAATTTTTTATTTCAGGGACCCACAGAACCCTTTTACTAGTGTAACATGTCATGTCTTTCAGAAAACAAAGGATGTCTGTGTAATCTGAGAATTCCAACCACTACTCCAACAATCACCACAGGACCATGAATAGATATAACATCTATCCCATCAGTTTCTCACTGGAGTTCCAATACTGAGAAGAGCTCAATAGAACAGAGGACACAATCAGAGGACAGGTTGAAGACAGATCAAGAACAAGGACGAGGTGAGTGGTTAGAGAAGGAGGTGGCAGGTTCTCCATGACCCCCTCCAAAACTCTCAAAAACACCAATAAATAAGAATTGTCTTTTCAAGACAGAAAATCCACAGAGTAATTCTGAATGTTATATAAATATTCTAAATGATATCATGCTGCAGTTTAAAAATCACTTCCACATCTCATACCTAAAAAGGAAAAAAAGCATGCACAAGATTTCTGTTTCTTCTAAATTCATTTACTGCTACTTCTGACCTACTGGATGTTTAGAATCCTTTATCAAAACCGGCTGCTACAGAGATAATGACGTCATTAGAAAATTAGATTTTTGGTAACTGGGTTGGGTATGAGGGAGGAGCAAACAATATAAATTACACAATAAAAATCCATTTGAACAAACACAATAATAACAGATATGAATATATACACACATCACTTTCAAGCTGCTGCTTTTTCTAGATTAATCAGAGAGAGAAGAAATTAAGGTGATTTAGAAACACACTGCCTAATGGTTGGGCTTTCTAATATATATTAAATAAGGCAAAGTATTCTCTATTTCCTTCTCATCACAT